GTTATCGACGATACAGAAGGATCATCGTGTGCCCCGTTCGTCGCGATGACGGGCGTCATGTACTTTGCAATTGAAAGCAGCGATGCATTTTCCCGCCACGTAACCGTTGCTCGACTCGCCAGGCGAAAAATGCAGATCGTCGAACGTGGCGGGGGCCTTTAGAATACCAAATCGGGCCGGAGCTCTCGGGCCCTCCCGATATTAATTTCGTGTCTTCGAAACGAGCGAAACGAAACCGCGGAAGCGATACAAGATCGGTCATAGGCGTGCGCGCTTTCTATCCGCGGATAATTGGCGAATGGCGAACATTCCTGAGGGACGAGGCAGAGAAATTGCTCTACGTCGAAGGATAATTTAATCGTTTTCATTGTTCGTTCTAAAGTCGGAACGAAGCATCAAACGATCCCCGAGGCTAAAGAATTCATCCTTTTTCGCTTTAGACTCGTGTTCAGAGTGAACTTTGGGATCGTTGGTTTTATAAAATACTGGCAATTATTCGACGAAGAATGCTTCAATTTCTGGTCAACAAAGAGATTAAATGAATAGTTAAACGTCTAATTTTATATTCAAACAACGTTTAATCGCTTCCAATTCTCAGGGAGGGCTCAACGGAGGGTCTCGAGTGACTCGATAATGAATTCGTTCGACGCGTTTTAACGACCGGGTCAAGCAGGTATCGTAACAGCGTGGAGCGATCCGATGGATCTGTATTTTTTTTTTTTTTCGGAATAGAAATGCGTTTTTTAAGACAATCGAGGTTATCGGATTGTAGAAAACATTTCTGCTCGACCGCTGTGTGTACGATTGGTACCCCGGGGGTAAAGAAGCAGGCCGCAAATAACGCCGCGAGGCTATGCAAATTTATGTTGAACGAGCCCGGGTCAAATGTCACCTGGGTCGCGGGTCGTTGCCTATTTGCATTTCCATTCGATTAACCAATGGTCACCGGCGTCCAACGTGGCTTCGATCGATCGATATCGACTTTTTCTGAACAGACGAAAAAAAAGATGATCGGCCCCACGCACCTGCGTGCTTTCTGGCCCTCCTGACGAGGACATTTTCGGGTTTAATCGAGAATCCTTCGATCTCTTCTTAGTCCTCGGGAACAGATATTTACTTTGAATTTCTCATACGTTGAAATCTCGATGTTTCGAATATTCACGCTATCGTGATCGGTACTTTCACATACATTCGGGGAGCATCATAGATCACCGAATCCTCAGTCTTCAGAAGTTATAGATCCCAATCCAACAGATCAAAGTTTCAAAATTCTTCCAACTGTTCTTCAAGTGTGATCGATGATTCCTCGATCACGGAGGTCCCAGGTGCGACAGGAGATAACGAGTCGAGACGGTACGATCCACGAAATTCCAAAGGGATCGCGATCACGGTTACGCACGGCTACGGCCAGTGGCCGGTTCACACGGCGCATTCGAAACGAGCCACAAGCCACAGGCGTCGTTCCCGCAAGAAAAAAAGTTCGCCGATTGTGATTCCGTTCACGGCGGCAGCGTTGCGCCGTGGCACGTGGGGTTTCAATTCGCGTCTCCTCTCCAAGTAGCCGGCAACGACGACCGACGTTATTTCCAACCTTCGACGGAGAGAGACGTTCCTTTCTTCCTTCCTTTCCTTCCTTCGATTACTCGCTCCACGGCCTGTCCAACTTGCGATGAATAATTCCGCGACGTCGTTGATACACTTTGCACCCGCGCGCCTTGGAATTTTTCCCGGGCCCACTTTAAACCGGCAAGGAACCTGTCCCTGGTAGCTAAACGATTACCTTAAAACAGTTCCTCGAATTTCAACTGGAACCTTTACTGAATATTTTTGTGTGCAAGATGACGACTTTCGAAGACAAGGCTGCACAAATTGATGTTCGTAGACTATCCGAAAGTATACTAAATATGACAGATCTTCCCATTAATTGTAGACTGTTTAACAGATCATTGCATTCTTCGCTGAATGAAATTGGGCATGGATTAAAATGGAATTAAAGAAATATATTTGTCCTTTCGCTGGATTGTAATATAAGCGAATAATTCGTGTTAAATGAATTTTCAAATTTCTGTAAGAAAATATATAATTGAAAATCCAAGGTGGGTTAAATTGACCCGAACAGTGTGCGAGGGTCAACTCTCTGGCTACTACGCGCCACCATAAGTGGATTTCTATTATGCATTATAGTAAGAGACGTTGGTAGCCACCACGGTAACTATATACTTTTATTTGTTTACTTGTGCATACTGTTATTACAGTACTGCCTATGGCAATCGGAGGTTTAACGAGTTTTCAATGAAATCCTGCCAGTGTTCTTATTTTCCGTGCACATGCAGACAATTCGAGTTTCAGTTCCGACGTTGATTTCGTTACTGGACGAAGCAAGATGCTCTCGGAGTCGCGTCCTCCGCTCGTATCGATACTTTGTACGTTCGTAACCGCGCGCGCACCAATATGCAAAACCAGTGGTTCCTTCGTGGCCCTATACCGCGTGTGCCGAGTAGAGACAAAGGTGCTTATGGGTTACGAACGGTGGAGAACTTGCCGTGCGTGCACGCCATACATACTTAATGGAGTTTCGGCGGTGCCTCCGTCCGTATCGTCGTCGTCGTAGCCGGTGGAGCTTATAGCCCATGCAAATCCAGCTGTGCAGATATCGCGACGATGGTATATAGTGTCTGGTGTGCATGATTTTTATCGAGTCACACCGTCCTCGAGCGAGGGTACAACCCTGATCATCGTCACACCCGACACAGCAACGATCGCGCGTCAATCCAGACCCTTCATACATTTTTTAATATCCCACCGGCTAGAATCGTTATTATTACAGGAGGAATTGTACTCTATTCTTCTTCTTTAATTTTTTCTTCTATATTTATCACAAACTTCTCTGAGGGGAGAGGGGCGAACATCGAAAAGCCTGACGGTCGTTCAGTTTCTCTCTCCCCTCGAGGCGACACCCTGTTTATCGTAAACGGAAGAAACATAAGGCAAGCGAGCTTGATAAGATTATACCGGTGCCTGGTGTGAAAACAAAGGACCAGCAATGTAGGACTTTGTGAAACGGAGTCTCGTAAAACGGCCCCCACAGACGATGCGATTTATCATATACATTCAAGAGTTGCATAGAATCACAAATCGTACTCACAATCACGTCGTATAAACAGATTTTTAATATGCATGAGTATCGTATGATTAGACCGTACGTCGTTCTAGAAATTCTACGACTATGCCACAAACGTCGCGACTCTCTTTTAAACAACTCACATTGTATTGTACAATCCGGTTGTACGATATATCGTATTGTATGTGGGCCGTTTTAGAGTTGCGTAAAATAAATCGTATCGTCTGTGAACCTTTTAACATTCGTACAGAAGCGACAATTCCCCCCAAGAACAGTGTCTTCTGTCTCCCTTTAATTTATTATGTACGTACTTGATTTAAAAAAAAAAAGACTGAAATATTGTTATACTTTAAACGATCTTACCTCAGGCGAATTACATCATCCCGAATTGGCCGAAACATTTCCCTCCGACTGGCCCTCGATCTCCCTCGAATTACGCGATCGTAAAACGCGGTCTCGAGCGGGGTAGGGGGAAAGAGAAAAAAAGCGAGAGAGGCCGTTCAGAAAAGGGAGAACGCGAAAAAGGGGGCGACCGAGAGAGAGAGAGAGAGAGAGAGTTTGTACATACAGTGAGAGTCAAAACTACGTATACACCTGACAAAAGTTCGTGTAATACTTCTGTAACATCTTACTATTGTAATACCATGGCAGTAATACAGTTGGATATGATTTTTTCAACATTTTCAGGATGAAATAGGCAGCCGAAAAATTCACAAATTTGGATGTTTAAATATAATGAAGCAAGTGCATTCGTGGGTCTTTTAATGAGATCGTGACTCAAAATATAGAATTACTTACTGGACAAAACAGTTTCAGTTGGTTAAGTCCTTCTCCACAGTCACCAAATTTCAATGTAGTAGGAATATTACATTTTAAACTGAGATAAATAAATACAAATGAATCCCATACTTTCAAAGTGTGCACTCACTTTTGATTCTCACTGTATACCTATACGGTGGAGAGGACGAAGAAAGAGATGGTATTTCGCGCGAGCGCCATAAGGTGTATGCTACATCGTTCTCTCGCCTTCGCGGTGTTCACGGACGGCATAGAGCAGCAACCGTGTACCTACAACGACGATGCACCTGCACCTGCCTCGGCAGTTGCACCCCTCTTTAACGACGATGCTATCTAGGATGGTGTGGATGCCCCCCTCGCCTGGTTCGCTCGCTTTCGCTGCTCCTGCCGCCGCCACCGCCGCGACACCTGACGCTTCTTGCTCCTCCGTCTACAACGAGACTGTCTCTTTCTCTCTCTTTTACTCGTTGCCGCGCGCGTGCTTTCCGAGAGCACGTCGCTTTGTGAGAAGTACCATTAACCTGCCTTCTCACACATCCACCCGCCCCTCTGTTCTCTCTCCTATGGCCAGACGTGTTCCCTGCCCGATTTCTGACACCCATCCGTCTATATTAGAGCGCTTCGAGCCGGAAGAATTTGGGAATTCTGTGATTGAGGGATCTTGAGACGAGTTGTATCGGTAGGTGGGAGATTCTGAGGTCCGACAAATTTTAGGGCGAATGGAATTTGGAAGTTAGGTATCTTTGATACGTAGACAATTTGGAGTTTTCCTTTCTTGCGGGAGATTTTCAGGTCTAGGAAGCTTCGAGGCGAAGTAGATTTGGAAATTTCCATGTTTGGTGCGTTGGAAATATGGATCTGTCTTTCTATGTTGAATAAGGGAGTCGATGTTTTCCTCTTGATGTACAGAAACTTTGCTTTCTTCTTCCAACATGCAAGAAGTTCAGAACCTTGCTTCTTTGACTCTTAGAAAAATCAAAGATCTCCGACGTAGAAACATAGCCTCGAATCTAAGTATTCTGTTGTACTTTTAGTCGGTACTCTGAACTTTGTCTGACCGAATTTGTCTCTGCTGTTTCAGATATCCCGGCGCAAGTGCCGCCGTTAACACCTGGGACCAACAAGAAGATGACCGAGGCCCTGGAGGCTTCTTTCGCCTCCTGGGAGAAGGAACGAGTCCGCCTCAACATAACCAAAGGTTAGTACCCGATTCTTTTCGATCGGTTTCTCACGAAAATTGTTCCTTTCAGACTTCCTTCTATCTCGCATCCCCTCGCCCGTATCCTCCGCGTCGTACGTGATCCTCAACGACTTCTAATTACAGGATCGAGATTTTACGATTCGTGTGCTCGCGAGCTGTATTCGGTGTGGTATCGTCGAAAAGACGCGAGCACGTTGCCTGGAACGATAACCAATGCATTAACGGGATTGTTAGGACGGGTAACCGTGTTCTCCCATTGGATTCACGAGATTCCATTACCTCGCGATCGTTTACGCGCCGGTGTTAATGGACAGCGAGATGGCGATAATCGGGCTTAATGAGTAACAGCCGATCGTTCGATTCCCTTCGTCGAGATTTTATTGGCGTTCACGGTCGAACCGCGGAAATTATGTGTACCTACCTGAAAACTCTCGAGACGTTTCTTGGATTTCAAATAACAGGTGGAGTTGTGTTTCATGTGTATTTGGAGAAGGATGTGATAGTCTCGACGTAAAACTCGCACCACGCTGCGTTCGGTTCCGATAACAAACGTATTATCTTCGAGAGTTTCCCCTGAAATGTAACGAAACGAAATCAGGATCTGTACAGAATTACCCTCTAACCGAAGTATAAGGTGTCCCAATATGTAACCCACTATTTTTTGTTCTGACACTCCGTTTCAAAATCATTCGAATAATTTGGAACAATAGTAAATTACTTATTGGCACATCCCCAAGTATTTACACTGCAACACCCTTGAGTTTCCCAAGAGGGAAGGGATATCGTTCAACTTCCATTCTGATAGTCACCATAGCCTCCGGTTCCCCAAAAAGAATGGAACCATGTACATGATAGTCGTCGTAGCTTCCCCACAATCGGTACTCCTCAGACCCTATCCAGAATCCTAATCAAAAGCAAAACCCAACCACCGTGGATCACACCCGCGAAGCGACAACGGTCTACAGAAAAAAAAAAGGATAGAAAAAAAAAACACAAAAGGAACTATAAACAAGGTTACAGAGGCGAATCTCTCGGCCTGCTACAAAAGAAAGCTTCTCGACTGGTTGCGCACGGGGCCACGGTCGAGCGATCCCGTAAGGTAGGAGAAATTTGTCGAAAAATCGGCGACGAGATCGGTACCGCGATACGTATGTGTATATGTATATGTGCTCGAAAACGGGGTGGTGGGAGGGAGGGCAGACAGCAACGGGGTGCGTGAGTGCGCGAGCGTGGAGAGACGACGAGGTATATACCGAGGCGAGCGGGTTATACGCGATGTGATGTGATGTGCGACGAGGCGGCGATGTGCAGGAATTGTGAATGTGATGTTGATGGTTCTCTGATGGGGAGCCGATGCCACACATCCGGTATGCGCATTCAGAGCCAGGCGGGTGTGACGTTACTTCCGGTCTACATGCCCCGGGTTCGTACCCTCCCGGCGAGATCACCTACAGTCTGACCTCCGTGAACCTAAACGAGGCAAACCACGCTCGCACCTCTGGCCTCTACGGGTTTTCACCGTCGAGTCTCAGTCGATCAGGAGCAGCGTGATCACCACGAGTACTTTCGTGCTAGACCTATGTAGTACTTCTTTTTTTTATGTTTTAGTGTTCTAATACGTGGATAGTCTGATGCTTCTCGGAAAAAAAAAACAACACGAGAGTTGCACACATGAGTTTAATATTTTTCTACATAAGTTGGTACGAAAATATTTGCTGGGCGGTCACACTGACTAGGAAACTCGCGACGTATTTCTATTTCTTTCTTTCCAAACCCCCTCTGCACACCCTATCTCTCTGTCCCCCATCTTCCCCACCTCTGTTTAATGTGTTCTTCCATGCTCTTTTTTTGGTCACCCTCTCGTCCCCTCTCTCCCGTTCGTTTTATTGTCTCTTCGACCTTTTCGTCCGCCATTGTCTCTCCGCTCGCATGACCGTTTGTCGCGCCGCGTGTAGACCAGAGTTCGAGCTCGGTCACGGATGGAATCGGTGGACCGTGGATCTTTCGGTGAGAGGTTAATCTTGGAACGTCTTGATTGCTTCTGGTCAATTGTCACTGCTCACTCTCTGCAATGTTTTTTTATTTCACCGTGTCCGGACATTCATGGACTGTAGTGTACATTATTCTAGATCAATGAATTCTGCAGAATCCCGAAAAGTACGTATCCCCCGTAATCATCCTACAGCATTCACGCATAGCAATTTTTTTCCGCCGAGGGGAACTCTGCATTGAGATTTCACGAATATTCGCATCGTTAAAGGCTCCCTGTATCAGCGTTCTACGTGTGGCTTATCGCTGTTTGCGCGAGTAGAATCCAAAATGGCGCGTTTGCTCTTGGAAAACAATCGGGGACAGCGATCACAACTACCGCCGCGGCTATCATTCCGCCTGGTAGTCCACGGATTACCGAATATCGGTTCGAATCCGCTATATCACAGGTACCTACGCATATTCGTCGAATGTTGCGCGCGAGCGCGTGCTCTGCAACGGACGGCGAAGCACCTGCCGGACACAGAGGCACGGCGTGCATTCGCGATTGCATTGTAGGACGTCAGAACCATCTGACGCATTCGTTATTATGATTTATTCAGAATCTACCTTTCTTATGAATAATACGGCTGGCCAAGGATGCCATCCTCTTCGTCGAATCGCGTCGTGTTCGGTTCACGTGATCGGTCGAGCAACGACGCTACTCGTCTGAGTTCGAGACACTTTTTTTTCTTTTTTTCGATTTAAGAAATATATATTCATTCGACAAATTCGACTTAAATTCTCTTTTCACTCCGCTAATCGAGATTCGACGATAGAATCGAAGCAGAACGTGGAGCAAAACTGAACACCTTGATTGCAATTTTATCGCGTCGGTGGATCGACTGAATAAAAGAGAAGGCGGGAGATCCTGCCGTGTTCTAAGAACGAAACGGGCTGCCCCGCGTTATTTCCTAAGCCAGGTGATTTACACTGAATGGAGTGTTCTCATGGCACACCGTATTTCCCCCCCGCAACGAGGGGAAAACGGGGAATTGGTAAGAACACAGAGCTCTTCTTTAAGTTGTAATAAACTAGAAAAACATTTAAACTGCTTTCGAAGCCGACGAACTGCTCGTGTAATGAAACAGTTTCTCGCCTCTGTAACCACGACGGAGGGAGAACGTATTTGTGGATTGTGCCTTCGCAAAGGTGAATAGAGTACCCGAGAATAATTCATGTCGAATTAATCTGGTTCGCCGTGTTACGCGGAAAGCGAAAGGATCTTGCGAGCCTTGCACGCGAGATCACAAACCATCTTTCCAGTGGTACTAAATACCAACGATAAAGAACATGTTCGATAGAGAAGATCGGCGAAGAACGAAAATGGAACTTTCCACAAATTTATAGAAAAGTGGAACTTTGATGTTTCGGAGAATTGAAAATTTTCGAATGATTTTATAGTTGTGCCACGATGTGTTTTACGTTGAATCGAGTCACGACCGAGAAGATAGAACGCAAACAAAATTGTAGACATCGTGCGTCAGATGGCTAATTAAAACCTCCACCGTGACGCTCGGGGGCCGTTTTAATCTCAACATCGACGCGGCTTTCTTTCTACGGAGCGGCTGGTTCAAACGAAAAGAAGAAAGAAAAAAATCGAAAGAAAAGAAAGAAATTGGCGTCCACCTGTACGACGCGGAGCCGGTGAAATTTATCACTGGAGGGCACAGGTACATCGGTATCGTAGGCAAACCGTGGCCCATTGGGTCGCAGACGGTTCCTAAACCAACCGACCGAAATCACGGTCGGTGTTTCTGATTATTGCCGTGAAAGCTTGCGCGTGGCACCTGCGCCAGCTATCTCTGTTTAAAGATCGATGGGGGCTCGATTGCCTTTATCGTCATTTTCGGACACCTTACGACATTGGTATACCCCCCAGATCACTCCTTCTCTCTTTATCCCTGTCCCCTGACTGAACTTCTCGCAGTTCTTAAGTTTCTTGGATTTAAAAAATTTTTAATTCAATATTTTTACTAGGATGTGTCGATCACCATGACGTTCTCGTCAAAACATAAACTGGGGAGTCCTTGAATGTCCGTATGAATATCAATTCTGACAATGATCCAAATATTCTCCAAATCTTCCATTGGTTGCAATTCCTTTCATTTCAAGTGTTCACTGCCAAGCTTATAATTTCTAAAAAAACGAGTGAAAAATTCTACACCTGTAGAAGGTGTTGAACTCCACATTGTCGCCACGATGGAAAAAGAAGATGAACGCCGGCCAAGGTGTCCTTGAATGGCCATATCGAAATCGGCGGGAGTCCCAAGATCTCGCGATCGTTGTCGTCGCACATCGTGGTGTACGTGACTCGCGAGAGTAACGCTCTTTTTATGAATGAAGGGGCGCCCTCGACGCGACCCAGAGGGCCCCCTTCGCTTCGTTCGTTCGTGGAAACGATGAAATACATCGTTGGACCGGGAATCGGCGTTCCGCGCGCGACGATAATGCATAAATAGAGAAAAAGGTGAGAGCAAAGAGGACACGAGGACGCGCGCGCGCGCGTCACACGAAGTGTCTAACGGCACGGCACGATCAAAGGCGGCCGCCGCCGATATTTGAGGATCGCGCCGATGTTTGCCGAACTTATTCCTTGTCAGCACTGTTAACAGACTCTCTCAGCTCCTCCCTCCCTCCACCAGCTAAGCGTGAACCTCCAACGCCCCCGAGCCTTCTTTCTTTCCTTCTTTTCTCGATTATACACTCCTTTTCGTTTTCTTCCTCTCGTATTTCCCTTTAACTGGCCGGTCTAACTCCAGCGTAGGGCCATTAGTTTATGAAATATTTAGTGTTCAGTGCCGAGAAGCCTTCGAAGACTCATCCAGGATTTACTGTGTATTCCTTTTAATCAGAGACCTCGACGTTTCACTGACTAGTGTCTTAAGAATTTTTACAGAAATTTGTCTGAAATTGTTGGATAGAAATTGAATTGTCTGAATTTATTGAATAGTTAGCGTACGAAGTATGAAATCTGGAAAATCAGGGAGCTCTCCCGTAAACGTTTCACCGTGGAACGCACGATTACTGGGCCGCTATCGTCTCCTCCGGACGACGGAGAACAGCAGTGCACGGTGATTCGCTGGCCAGGGCTTTTAATCAACCGCGCCGCAATAGGCTAATCTAGGCAATTAGTTCCTCCACGACATAATCAACCGGACCAGATAAGGTGAAACTGTACGTTGGGGTGGGAGTTAAACATTTCTGTATTACATTAGAGTACGTCCGTGCATTATCATCGCCAGTAGAGAGAAATATGCAGATCGCAGTGGTGGAACGAGATATCAGAGGGAAACGAGAAAATGTATGGCTTTTCCTTCGACGACCACCCCCAATCCGCGACACGTGATTGAACATAATTGGAGAATAGATTAACACCCAGTACGTCTGTTGAATTTCACCTGGTGTGTCTCGATTCTATGCGAAATTTTCAGTAGACGATGTTGGTATGCATAAAGAGTCGAGTATTCGTATAAAAGAATGTTGTGATAGACTGAAAAAATTATTGTTTACTGTTTAGTGCAATTTACTAAAACCGGGTGACTTGTAGAGTTTTTCTATGTGTATTTTATTTCGTGTGTTACGACCTCATATATTCTTCTTTTGAAAAATCCGAGTTTACGAATACATTTTCGTGCACCGTATAAAATTATAACGCTCCGATATTGTATAAAATTATGGTATTGAAGTATCAATGTCACTAACAACAGGTGGTAACTCCGAAAAAGAGACTCGATTACGTTGCAGAGCATTTTCAGACCGGTGAGTCAGAGAAAAGTGAAAGTACGAGGTATCTTGATTCAGGATTTTCCCCAAAAAATTCTCGAAAGCCATTCGAAGATAGACGTTCACGCGGTGTTTCGACGAATGGAGTGGCTCGAGGGAGGTGGAAGCCTCGTTAGGACGGTTCGTCGTAATTTCTGTTTGCATTATGAGCCGAACAGTACTTTTACGCGGGAAGATACCGCGAAACAATGCAAGACACGCGTGCAAATATGGGCGCGCACCTCAAATGGGACATTCCAATGTTTCTCGGTATCGCCTTCTGCCAAAGATGGCCGGGTCCGAGCACCGATCATGTCGTCAACCCGACACAATATCTCTGCGGGCTTCGAAAAGCCTTGCGTCACTAGTCGGATCCGTCGCCTCCCTAGAGCTTCGAATACCACCGAACAATATATACTCGTTCCACACCCCTTTTACCTTGATTTTCAATAATAATAATAAAAACCATCAGAGACCTGACTGCTCATTTGGTTCATATGTATTCAGACTACATCTCACAAATGATACAAGTCCAAGTCTAAGTTAAACTTCAATCGTAATCCTGATTTAATTCATAATTCACCAAAGTACCAAAATGATACCTACTCGTTTCAAACTGTAATGTTAATTTTCAGTTCTTCTCCTAAACAGAATAGTTCAGTCTAGATTACCAAAAAACAGTAGAACTGCACTCAAGGAATTAGAATAGATACCGATCTGGTTTTCCCATTCGAAAGCAACTGAAACGCTTACATTACTCGCCTCGTATTCGATTTGAATAATCGTTCCACGTCTTGCGGTTACTTTTTACATGTCGCCGCTCTCGAACAGGCTGAAGGGTCGATTAACGGTGATCAATTATGCGTTACGTTGTCGAACATAGTATTTGTTCGCGGGTCGCGTGATACATACACGGTAGATCGCGATCGGAACGCTTTTTCACGCGGCTGTTTTTGTTCCCGCCCAACGGGGAAAAACCCGTGATTAGCGGAAAATTATTACCGTAATAGCGGCGGCACGTGGAATGATTTCAGATCGACAGATTAAACACAATTTTCCGCTCTTGATAATACGAAAATTACAAAACTCCGGACGGTTGAACAGAGAGAAAATTGAACGCCTAATGAGAACCAAATAGAATGATCACACCCCTGTTAACGTATTCCATCGAATCTATTATTAGAAACGAAAATATCACAGGAAAGCAACATCTAAATTTTCATTTAAAATATAAATGTTAATTTTAATTGAAAGTGAACAAATATTTCATCATAAACTAATGGCCGTATGCGGCTGTAAAAAATATCATTGGCTTCACAATTCCAAGCTCTACCACTGTGGCTAAACTTTATTAAAAAGTCAGTGTTTGTTATAAATATTTCGGGTATCGAGGATCCTAGGCAAATGGTAGTTTGATCGATTTAACCGATCATCCTGATGATATATTTTTTTTCCAGACCCGAGGCAATGGTCGGAAGCAGCTGTCGCACACTGGCTGCACTGGGCGATCGGTGAGTTCTCCCTGGAGGGTGTGGCGATGCAGCCCTGGCAGCACATGACCGGGAAACAGATTTGTGCCATGGGGAAGGAATCCTTTTTGGCACGTGCTCCGGCGTTCATGGGCGATATCCTGTGGGAACACCTCGAGATCCTGCAGAAAGGTACGTGACTTTCGTGTCCTCTCTGTTCAAGTTTGTTTGTTTATCCGCGCGCGATACGGGATAGGTATTTTTCGAGGGTCTTTTTAACCCCTTGCCTCACGATTTTCTTCACATGTTCAGTCTCCAAAAATTAGACTTTATTGTAAATAGTTTCCCAGAAACAAAAGGCACTCTGCGAGTATCGCAACTGTACATTTACCATAAAAGTTAAATATTAATACGAGTAATTTATAGTACTTCACTTGGACTTAAAGAAATGATATTTGTACTCGTTGAAACCACGAGTCTGATACGATGATGTCAGGCAAGGGGTTAAAAATCTATCATCAGTTTTGAGAAAATCCATCGAGTTGTTTCTTTACATAGCGTTCACGGTAATTGAAAGCGTGGCGCGTAATATTATACAGAGATGGGCAGATTCGTTATCTGGATAAAGAGTTTCGAATGAAAAATGCTTCGTCATTTGGAATTGATTATACCATGGAAATTCCAATTTTTTTTCTTGAATGAATAGACACTCGGCGAATAATGATTTAAAAAGAGTGTTCTTTCTCCAAAAGCGCCCTTGGTAAATTGAACTCCATCGTGCTGAAAAATATGAAACCTTCGAGAAGCCCTTAAATCGCCAAAAGTAAAAAAACATCCCACAAATTCGCCGATTTCCGGTGCACCAAAGGGATCCCCCTAAACGTCCCCATATGTACCTGTTGCTCTTAGCCCACGACACACGATCCAGCTCTCTGGTCGGATGGACAGTCGTGTCGTAAGGATCGCGAGACAATCAGGGTTCCCTCACGGGGCGGAAGAGCAGGTTGCCCACCGGAAGAGTCGTTTTCCTCGGCCATGCCCGCCCGAGGATCCTCCCTCTCTGTTTCGTGTGTATGTGTGTGTCCGACGCGACAAAAACAGATATCGTATTTCCATAAAATCGCAATGTCACGGCAGGTACACGCCAGAGGCCAGAAACTGTCCGCGAACAATGATGGAGAGAAGATCGAGGTGGGCGAAAGACGCTCTCTTCCCCTCTCCACCTTCCTCCGCGCTCGTGTTTTCACCGTTTCGAAGCGTTGAATCGGCACTTTTTATTCGAACGAAGGAGAGAATGGTCGGGGTGGAAGAAGGGCAGGGGAAAAGAAGAAGAAAAAAAGGAGGCAGCCTCGACCATAGAAACTCCCACTCCGGATATCCTGTGCCCACCAAGAATGGTCCCGTGCCATTGCCTCGGCCACTTAGGTGGTTTTTCGGAGCCAGGGTTCCCTCTGTGCACACCGCGTGTGCATCTCCACCCCCCTCGAGAATCCACTCGTATTTCGATCGCGAGATTCCTTACCCGAGATATAGATCCCCCGATCGTACCGATTTTTTTCGGTGGGGGTGGATTCGAGGTCCAAGTAGCTCGGCTCTAGGAGGCGTCACTTCGGTTCTGCGAGAAGGTTCCATTCGAAACGGGAGAACGAAAAACGGCACGGGGTCTGTTTTAATCGGCGTTACCTGTACTCTTCAAGATTTCAGTTGTTAGTAGTTCGTTTTGCGACTCTTGACGGTTCTTTTCGTACTCGTAAAAAACCTTTTCGTCGAGGTAGCCCCGTCCGTCCTGCGGTTTGTTATTTACGAGCGTTCGTTGTTCGTATCGTATATCACTCGCACGGAGGAACGAAT